AATATTTTCGCAAAGCAGTTTTATCAAAAAAATAAAGTAGTTTTTAAGGAACTTTTAGTGAAGTTGTGCGTTGTGCGTTGCGTGTTGTGCGTTGTACGCACTGGTTGTACGTTGTACTTTGTGCGTTGTGGTTAGACATGTGTGACTACAAAAAAGTTACGCAACTTTGTAAATTTAAACCAATAAAGCCTGAGTCTTGAAAATTGGCGAATATCAATTTGATTTGTATGTTCCTGAAAAGTGAATTTGAAACCATCCTTATAGGGACTGTTAGCGCAATTTAAAGTAACCCTCCATGCAAAGATGACATTTCCCGATTTACAAAACGGTTCCCTTAAATGCTTTTTCTGATCAAGAATGAATTATATATTAATGTTTATAGCTTTGAAAACTGATTATTTTCAATTGTGGGTTCTCTACAAACTAACCTTTTAATTTAACACTTTTATAACATAGAAAACGACAAAATTTTCCACATTATTGATAAGATAAAGGTTTTAAGGGTACTGTTGTGAATCGGGCAATTTCAAGATAGGGTCACTTGAAAATACCCTCACAGTCCCTTTGATAAAGGAGGACAGTATCTAACGCTAAGCTTCCAAACGTATAATTGTATACTGCTATTAATGCGTAGGATAGTTGAAATCAATTTAACCAACTTTAACTTGAACTTTTATCAAACCTAAAAGGAGGACAGTGTCTAACGCTATACAAGCTTCCAAACGTGTATACTTCTATTAATGCGGAGGATGGTTGAAATCAATTTAACCAACTTTAACTTGAACTTTGAGCTGTGTAGACTATTTTGAACCACTTCTCTTATATATTGTGAATAGAAAGGAATCTTTCATGTTATTGGTAATTAGATAACAGTTCAAAGGGTACTTTTGTGAATTGATGAGTCACTTGAAATGGCGTCTAAAATCCCCTTAAAACATATTGATTACAAATGCTCGTACAAACGAAATTGCTTCAGTGCATTGCACTTAAACATGTTATAGTTATGAATGATCTGCAAAACATCTATTCGATAAAATTTGATCAAATAATTCGAGTGAAAATATTTATTTTTTCTGTGCATGATAATTAATAGGATTTATTATTGACATAACATTTATTGTAATACAGGATAAACACCATCTCTACTAATACATAATAACCCTTAAAAATATATTTTGAAGGTTTTGAACAATATTGAGTTGCAGAGAGAACTGTCAATTAGTATAATTAGCGTAGAAAGGGTATCAATACTCATAGGGATAGATCAATAGATAGATGGATGATGTAAAGATTGATCTACAGATTGATAGATAGATAGATGGATGGATCTAAAATTACATATTAATATATTTATCCCCCCTCCAAATGTTCTCTCCCTCCTCTATACATTGAATCAAAGACATGCTAAATAATAAGAGAGTTAGGATGGTTGTTAGTGATAATTCGATGATTGGACCCCCCCCCTTCCCCCTTTAGTACACAAAATGAACTGTTTTATAAACTGTCGTCTGTTTAGTCTGTTAGAATAAAAAAATGCCTGTATATTGAATATCCGATATTGGAGACAGAAAAATCTGCGAATTTAAAAAAATGTTTTTTATTTGATATAAATGTACAAAATGGAAAATGAATGCAATTAAAAAAGAAAAACGATAAAAAGAAAAGAGCTGGGCGCGAAGCTTCCTACTTCCCTATTAATAATATCTATATCCCTGAAATCTTTCATGATGAATAATAAGGATTACAGTGATTATATTTACTCCATGTTATTATCTTCTGATATAATATATTAATCCTTTAGATATTATATTCATACAAATCCATGAAATAGCTTTTCTTTTTATCTCCATACTTCAAAAATTCTAACCTTTGAGATAAATGTCATTTTTTTAAATAAAAAAATTTCTTTTTGCAACATGTTTTTATGTTATAAAGAATGTTATTAATTCTATTTGCGTGTTTTACATTGTGCAACATTTTACTTCCTGTTCCGTTCAATTTATCTTCATTTTTAACAAAGAAAAAAAAGAGTAATGTAAAAATAGCTTTCTTATCTCAATTGTGCCAACATTTCGTTTGTCACATCAAACTAAATTCAATTTTAATTTAGTTTTAACTTGAACTTGAAATTGAGATTTGCACAATTTCCGCTACAGAAACGAAGGAGGAAACTTTCAGAAAAAAAACTAATTTTAAACTATAAAAATAACGATATCTCACTCAATATTGATTGATAAAGGTTTAAAGGGCATCAATGTGAATCAGGCAAACCCATTGTTAGATAGAAGGTCCCTTTAAATGACAGCGACACAATCCCTTTACTACCTGCAGATATTTTAGAAAATCCCGATTATTTAGAATTAAAGAAATTGCTAAATTTAAGGGTAATATATTATTTAACATTATTGTGATATGAGCAAATTCATTCAAGCAAAAAGGATCAATTAACGATTTTTATTTATCAAGTTGATATAAGATTACGACTTGTAAATAAGGATTTTTTAAACCCAAAAATGCGAAATAGTAAAGTTTTTTTTCATTCATATCGGTTTTTGGTCAAAATGCTGTTAAACATTGCTGTATTTTTCTTAACTTTATATAGATATGTTTATTAACTTCTAGAAAAATTTCCCAGCGTTGCCCGTGCACTCTCAGTTGGTCAGAAAAAAAAACTTAAAACTGAATGATATTATTAGTTAGCAAATTAATAAAAAAATAATTAGAAAACATTTTTCAGCAATTTTGTTGGGTAGAAAGCATAATTTAAACCTGCTAGACAATAATTAGGAGACATTGTAAATTTCTAAAATAAATAACATTGAGACATTTAAACAAAAAAATAAGCATCTGCTTGTCTGTATGTTCAATTAGAAGTCTAACCTTTATATATAGTACATAAATTGTATAAGTCATTTTATGCTTGGAAATATGAAAAAATTTAGGTTTTTCATTTAATATAACTCAGGGTTTCTAAACGGTCAGTACTAAGTTATATTGGATAAACACAAGATTATAAAAAAAATATGTTATTATGTCTATTTAGACTTTGTACAGCCCTGAAAAAAGCTTAAGAAATGGTATGTAAATTGAAATGAGCAAATGAGCTAAGAAAACTAATTCGGGAAATAAACTAGGGTTTAAAAATAAATATAAATCCCTATTTTTCCCGAATATTATCAGGTAACGTGACGTCATGATGAACTTGATACATTCAGATAATCAAATCTTAAACAATAAGGATAATATTTATAACATTTATTCAATTACACTAAGGGTTTCATATGTATAAATAGAAAAAACTATGCTAAACATAAAACCACATTTAGGAGAGATCTTTAGGAGACCAAGCCCTTTTAGGGACCATTCTGAACCCTTATCAGGCCCTTTCTCAGCAGCATGCACAGAAACGAAAGAGGAGTGGGACGAAAATTTGCTGAAAATTCGCAAATTTCAAACCCCAGCTTTTTACACAGGCTACAAATAAACTAAAAGGTTAAAATTTTGCACGTTTTTTGCGCCATTTTAAATTCCCTTCTAACAGGGTAGGCGCGCAGACAAATAAATTTACACTACGTTAGGGGAAAACAACTAAGATCAGGGGTAATATTAAGTATTGCATCTCATTCATAATAACATTTATAAAACTAAACATGTCTTTACAGATTTATCAAAATGTGTCTTCAATTGTATAATGGGAATCATAGTTAAGGGAGAAGGGGATTATAAATAGGATTATATTATATCCGAGGAAAATAAGAGTCGATTATGTTCCAGTTTATCATTCATTCACTCATTCATTCATTCATCCTTTCATTCTTTCAAATGTACTTTCATTTATCTGTTCTTCATCCTTTCATTATTCATTTATCCTTCTTTTATTTTATTCATTTATCCTCTTATCCATCCTTTCGTTCCTTTATCAATCCTTTCATTTATCAATCTAATTTTCCTTGTTTTTATTCATTTTTCTTTTTTATCATGCATATTCATTTATTATCAGCGCGTTGTTTGTTTGTTTAACATTTAACCGTTTTTTTTTCTATTCTTTCAGTTATTCGTAGTTAATGCGTATTTTCCTTATTTAAAATCTACATATTTTTTATATTCATTTTTGATTCATTTAAAATCAGCTGCCAATTCCTGTCCTGTTATTGTTAATTAAGCTAGAATTGCCCGATCTACAAATAAGAAATTTTTCCTCAGACTTCTGAATTTGAGATGCTATGTCTACAGCTTGAGTCTACGATCGTCAATTCAGCCATAAATCCCTCCAATCAATCTTTAATCCCTACCCCCTCCCTGGATCCCTCCTAGCCCCACCTATCCGTGCTCTTGTTCTAATAAATCTCCGGTTTCCTTGATAAATTGCTCTTGTTACACTTCTGATTATTCAGCAGTTTTTAACCTCTCTTTAGTATACCCCCCAAACTTTGGTATACACCCCCTAGACATACCCCTCCCCCAAACTTTAAAATGAACCCNGGGTTAAAAAATTACATATGGCGGGATCGAAACGAGGTAGGAGTGGCAGTGCTACTGTCAGCGCTCAAATACATTGCGAATTTTGAGCAAATTAATCTAAATGCAACAAATAGCATCAATTTTATTATTCATTAAAGGGACTGAACACGTAGTTTCTAGTGAACCTTTATTTACAACTTGGCAAGTCTGATTTACAACGGTATCCTCTAAACCTTTGTCTGATCATGGATGAATGAGATATTCTAGGTTTTCTTGCTGAAAAAATGGATTATTTTTAAATCGATATCTTATTCATTGAGATTCAGATAGTGTTTAAAGGGTACCGGTGTCATTTGAGCATACAGCTCTTTAAATAAAGCTTGAAATTACGTGTACAGTCCCTTTAATGTGTAAACATGTTTAAATATTGTCTGGTTACACGGCAGTGTTGTTTTAACATCAGTTCTTGACTTGAAATGGCAGTGAATGCTTAAAATGTTAGTTTGATAAGTTTGTATAAAATCAGTCGGTTTTACTTGTGATTTCAGCGCCAAAATATTTGATGAAAATTGGGCGGTTTAAATTCAGAGAGGTGTCGGCACATTTTCATGAGTTTTGAGCTTTACAAGGGATAATTTCAAAGTTTAAAATATCATGATATTTTTGGGGCATTTAATATTTAGTAAATAAGTTGATTTCAGTCACTTCAGACCCAAACTTAAACATTGGGATTTTTGGTCGAGAGAATAAATTTTATCACTTTTTTTTATAAATTCACAAAATGAATGTTTATCTAGAGATCTTTCTTCTTCTTTAACTTATTCTACAAGAAGAGGTGTGCTGCCGGGTGGGGCTTTTTCACATTCGCCCCCACTTTTAGCTTTTCTTCCATAGCCTCGTCGGGCGTCAGAAATGGGGAAATGGGTTCAACCCATTTTCGTTTTCGGGACTGCTTCTCGCTCTTGGGATGGAGCAGCAGGTTTTGATGAAGGAGCTGCTTGGCGGATTCCGGGAGCTGTCCCAGGTTAACCGTTCGGGAAGCTGTCACAGATTCAAGAGGGACCCATTCATCGGGCAACCTGATAATAAACAAAAAACAAATGAAAAAAAACTTAAAGATTTGACATTAGTTTTGAGTTTGATCTAAAATGCATTTGTTAATGTCTAAAAACCAACCAATCCAACTTTAAACTTTACAAGCTAAGAACATTTCCCCATGGTTTCCCAATAAAATGTGGGTCAAATCGGTCATGGAGTTCATAAGTTATGATCGGACATACAAGCAAACAAACAAACAAACAAAGATTACTACTTCATATTTATAGATAACGTCAAAACGGCTAAACTGATCAAGATATTTTTAGGCAGTGGCTCATATGACCTCAGGGAATGTGGCCGGTCAGAATTACAAATGGTTGCCTCAAAATTTTTTTTGATTTTTCTAAAATCTGCGACTGAAAATCCGAGTAGTTGTTTTTTACAACATACGAAAGGCTTGCAAAAAGATCAGCAAAAACGCTAAGATTATATCTATACTCTATAGAAAGAGAATCTATTTAAACTCTGTCTCTGTCCAAATATTTCTTTTTTATATAGTTGAGGTTTCGGTATTTTAACAAATATTGTATTGCTTTATTGCTTTTTTTTGACAACTTAGATCACAGCTGAGACAAGATCAAAACAATTGAATTGACGAAAATGTCGAATAAGCCAGGGTTATAATGGGGGGGGGGGGGGG